TGGTGTCCGATGAGGGCAGTGGTGTCGGACAGCTTCTTCACAACTTGGAGTTGCCCCTTGAGGAGCTCATTCAGCTCTGCTTGGTCCACGTGGGCAATTTCAGCGTGGGAGATTACTCCCAGCTTCAGGTTGTCCCACTTGTAGGCAATCATTTTAAATGGAATGCCGTTGATGTCTGGGATCTCCGCGAGCTGTACGGGCATACCCTTCTCGGCGAAGGTGATCTTGATGTCACCATGGAGCTTCAGTCGTTCCACCTTGGTGACCCCCATGATCTCATTAGTTTCAAAGAACTTCTTGAGAACTAGGAGGTTTAATTTCTTGGGGCAGGTCGGCGTATCCGGACGTATCCGCGCCACGTTATCAAACTCGTAACCGTTCATGGTGAGAGAGGGTTAGAGAGTGACTGCTTGATTTTAACATTGTGACTTGAGCTTATCCCCAGAAACTGACCTAGCCCCGCCCACACCCAGGTAGTGGACCAATGGAATCTCATCCTTCACCCGCACTGTTTACCTCCACGAGCCTGACTCAGACAAACCAACATGTGAGGACGTCTCTTCACTCTGCCTCATCACATAACTTGGCTGAATTCAAGGACACTCACACTAACTTTTTGTTTTGGGGAGGTTTACAGTTATATCTGATCTTACTACAAACAGCAAACTAAACTCTTCACTTATTTGTTTATTTATGTTCATTTCTTTACATTACAGGTGACGGAACAGTTCTTGATTGTTATCCTCCAGTTAGGATGTAATAAAGACGATCTGAAATGTTCTTGATAGTCCTCCAAACTTAAAGAAATTTGACCAATCACAGTCAGTCATGAAACAACGTTATTTGAACTTCCAGGGAAAAATCTGATCATGCGGTTGGAGTGTGGGGCTGCGGCCTACACCTCCCCCCTGGACGGTTCCATGACAAAACCCCAACGGGGTTGTCATTTATCAACACTAATCTAACCTAACCTAACCTAAACATAAGTGTTTTATTTTATATTTTATATACGAGACTGGGGTTTTGTCCGTTGGGGTTTTATCCGGTCACCCCCCTGGACACACACACACACTGAAGCGTCATGTCGAGGCTCACGTTACCTCATCGATTATTTCCCACTGGCTGCCGACACCGTTCTGGACGTTACCGAGACTAATAAATGACTGTGGCACATCAACAAGGGACGAGAGGAGAAGTGTTGGTGAAAAACATTTCCTGTTGTCGCTGAATAAAGAAGAGAAATAAAATTATAGTTTCCATGAGAACGATACTTGATGGTGAGGCAGAAGGCCGTCACACAGACATTACCGAGGTGGTGGTGACACTGTGTAACATAACTACAGAGGCTACAACACACACTGACCCGACAACCACCAGACAAACTCAGCCAAGCACAAGCCAGAGAGCTCGATTCCTCCTCTTCCTCCTCCGCTCCTCGCCCTCAACGCTGCCCCTCGCCCTCTCACCTGTGTTCAATTTCAACTTTATTCTTGAACCAATATCCATAAACCTAACCCGAGTCTCTCCTTCCAAGATGTAAGTTCTCAGCGGTGTGGTGAAGTGTGGTGTAGTAGTGTGGTGGTGTAGTGTGGTGGTGTAGTGTGTACCGATAAGAACCAATTACATAACTCACTCACAGGCCGATTATAATACCCTGCTTCCCTCTCCTCCTTCTTATAGATCGTATTATATAATGGTCTCTATCACGACTAATTGTCAACATATATCCGGTAGAAAATTTCACTCACACATGGGCTGTATTTGTCTGTCTGTCAAAACACAAACACACACACACACACACACACACACACACACACACACACACACACGCACGCAATTCCTGTCTCCCCACACAGATACCCTCTCTCATATTCCTTCCCTTTCCTCCCACACTCCTTCCCTCTCCTCTCCTACACACCCTCCCTCTCCTCCCACACACCCTCCCTCTCTTCCCACACACACACACTCCCCCTCCTACCTCAAAGAATTAACACACACACACCACCACTTTACACCCCCTACACCCCCACATGCCCACACTCACACCTGACTTACCTACCACGACACACACACACACACACACACACACACACACAGACAAGAAAAGCGTCCCCAGGTGAATGCCACAGGTAGCGTCCAGGTAAATGTTGAGGGGGGGGGTTAATATGTCTCAGGTGTGTAGGCGGTCAACTTTAAGGCTGCCAGGTGACGCTTCCATTCCATATTTAAGGTGGGAGTGAGATGGAAAATAGGGACAGGTGGCCTTGACGCCACATGGCACTCGCCTCCCCTTTGGTATACACAAATATACAGATTACTTCCTCTTCCCCCTGGCATACAAAAGCATACAGATATACCTACGGCATTGTTGTTGTGTAGAGTAAGAGACCATACGTATAAATATAAATAGTTAATACATTTTATACACAACATATTACATTCTCCATCCACCTATAATACAAACATTACTAGTATACATATATCATCATCATATCAAGTTATACACATTCATACAGGTCAATTTAAAGTCATCTCTTTATCATACAGGTATATACAAATACTCATTAATTTTTACCTGGGGGATGTGCTCGGTCACTTACTACCTGTCACGCGATACTCTGCCGTCACTACTTTGCTATGGTGTCCGTCACTCCACCTCTTCCTACTACTGCTACTTTTGTTCCTCTCCTTTATTCTCCCCCTCCTCCTCTTCCTACTACTGCTACTTTTGTTCCTCTCCCCTTTATTCTCCCCCTCCTCCTCTTCCTACTACTGCTACTTTTGTTCCTCTCCCCTTTATTCTCCCCCCTCCACCTCTTCCTACTACTACTGCTACTTTTTTGTTCCTCTCCTTTATTCTCCCCTCCTCCTTCTACTACTACTGCTACTTTTGTTCCTCTCCTTTATTCTCCCCCTCCTCCTCTTCCTACTACTGCTACTTTTGTTCCTCTCCCCTTTATTCTCCCCCTCCTCCTCTTCCTACTACTGCTACTTTTGTTCCTCTCCCCTTTATTCTCCCCCGTATTCCCCTCATTTTTATCCTCCTCGTTTCTGTTCCTTACCTCCCCCTTCTCTTCCTCTCCTTCCTTCTTCTCTCCTCTTTTTTGCTTCCCCTCCTTCTCTCTTCCTCCTTCTTTCCTCCTTTATGCCTCCCACCTCACGTTATCACACCACCCAGTAGTTTTCCTTCCATCTTAAGAGTCTCCCTCATGTAACCTGCACACCTTCAAGTGCACCACACACAAACTTCTGACAAGCACACGAGTATCAATATTATTTCCAGCCTCAAAGACCAGGGGCAATCTTTGGCCGAGTACAGGGGCGATGTCGTCACTATCTGTCGTTGCGTGGTTGTGGGGGGAGGTGCGTGGTTGTGGGGGAGGAGTGCGTGGTTGTGGGGGAGGTGCGTGGTTGTGGGGAGATGCGTGGTTGTGGGGAGGTGCGTGGTGTGGGGAGGTGCGTGGTGTGGGGAGGTGCGTGGTTAATGGGGGAGGTGCGGCCGGTGTGGGGAGGTGCGTGGTGTGGGGAGGTGCGTGGTGTGGGGAGGTGCGTGGTGTGGGGGGGAGGTGCGTGAGGGTGTGTGGGGGAGGTGCGTGGTGTGGGGGAGGTGCGTGGTTGTGGGGAGGTGCGTGGTTGTGGGGGGAGGTGCTTGGTTGTGTGGATCAGGTGCTTGTGGGGGAAGGCAGGTTGGTGTGTGTGGTGAAAAGAGAGAGAGAGAGAGAGAGAGAGAATTCCACGCAACATTTCACCTGGAGTCTGATTCACCAACAAAACCTGGTCTTCTAACTCAGGTCGCCTCAATTAACAAGGTATTTAGACTCGAGAGAAACTCCAGCTGATAACATGATCATTATCCGGCATGTGAGGTGAGCTTCTCCACACTGGCAAATTGTATCAAGGGATTATATTTTCGGATCACATGAACATTAACTGTTATCACCTAAAATTAACCACCCTAACCTAACCTAACCTAACCTAATGCTAACCTAACCTAACGCTAACGAGAGATGTGCTACTGCTCTGTGATCTGCCCAAGAGAGCTGTGCTACTTGCTCTGTGATCTGCCCACGAGAGATGTGCTACTTGCTCTGTGATCTGCCCACGAGAGATGTGTCTTAGAAGGAGCAGAGGAAGCCGGTATGTTGTCTTTACACTTAGCGACTGTATATTCAACCGAGTGGCATAAGGGTGAGGGCAAGATGGTCACAACACTTACAGCTGGATAACATTGAGAGCTAAGACGACAAACTCTGGCTCTCATGCTAACCTAACCTAACCTAACCTAACCTAACCTAACCTAATCTAATCTAACCTAACCCCCCCACGGTAGTGTTAGGGTGTTTTAATCAAGTGAAATCAAACCTGGGGTGTCTAATCTTCATGTTATCCCTTATCTATATAATGAAGGGATTTATCAAAGTCTGGTGAGATTCTGTCCAGTATGATTCTGTCCAGTAAGATTCTGTCCAGTATGATTCTGTCCAGTATGTATAGTGTGATTTTGTCCAACACACCATCACAACAATCATTACAAAAATAACTAATGGAAAATATGTGAAATACAACAGTAATACATCCTTATACATCTACGTATATACTGTATAACATGTGAAATAAAACCCATATGACATACAACACCAAACACGTTACTAAAACGTATCATTGATCTGTTTAATCTTATGTAAATGGCTAATTGGAACCCCTCATATCCCTTCCATGCTTGCCAGCCATTAATGAATTGTCAATATATTTCAGTAATGTAAATAGAAGACAAGATTAACTATTTAGTGGATATCTCTCAAACACACAAATATATTTCGATCAAGCGGTCAATCCACAAGTCATAATATTCAGCAACAGAGATATATGAAGGCGAAGGGTAAATATATAAGTGCTCTCATAGTTGGCAATATATTAATGTGAAGCGCTCTTGCCAGATTATTGTCATGTAAATATTGAGTAGCAAATAAAGCGCTACATGTGACGTATTCAACAGATTAATGATACCAGAATTAGGGCGAGGCCACACGGACCAGGTCAGGGTCAAAGAGACCAGGCCAGGGCCACAGAGACCAGGCCAGGGCCACAGAGACCAGGCCAAAGAGACCAGGCCAGGGCCACAGAGACCAGGCCAGGCCACACGGACCAGGCTCAGCCCAAAGAGACCAGGCCAGCCACAGAGACCAGGGGCCAGGGCCATACGGACCAGGTTTGGGGTCAAAGAGACCAGGCCAGCCACAGGAGACCAGGCCAGGCCACGGGACCAGGCTCAGGGGTCAGCAGACCGTGGCCAGGGCCACAGAGACCAGGCCAGGGCCACACGGGACCAGGTCAGGGGTCAAAGAGACCAGGCCAGGGCCACAGAGACCAGGCCAGGGCCACACGGACCAGGCAGGGTCAAAGAGACTAAAAGCCAGGGGGCCACACGGACCAGGTCAGGGCCACACGGACCGGGTCAGGGTCAAAGAGATCAGGCCAGGGCCACAGAGACCAGGCCAGGGCCACAGAGACCAGGTCAAGAATATGTACACCAAGCAAGGGCCTTATAAACCTGTATAAGAAAGTCCACACTATTACCATGTAAAAATTACTGTACCTGTACCTGTATCTGTACCTGTGTCTGTACCTGTACCTGTACCTGTATCTGTACCTGTATCTATCAAACAACCTCGTTAACAAAGGCCTCCTGTTATCACGAGACTATTGCCCACAACTGTTGTTTCTGTATACAATAATTGCATTTCTGGATGAGTCATGATGAGTCAGCAGAAAACTTTTGAAGAGGAAGATGAGATATTAAATGAGACGGAGAGAAGGAAGCGAAGAACATTGAGGGTGAGACAAAGAAGCGAAGAACAATTAGGGTGAAAGAGAACAATGAGGAAGATGAGATAATGAAGAGAGTGAGAAAAAAAACAAATGAAGTCGAACAAGTGAGGAAAAGTAAAAAAAGATAAAGGAAGTGTAAAGAGAAAGAGAGGAAGATGGTGAGTGAGAGATAAGATGATGAATTGGTGGAAAATGGAAGAAGGAGGGTAATAAAGGAGAGACAGGAGAGAAGATGCAACAAGGAGTAGATGTGAGGAGACTAAAGGAGAAGGAGTGGAAAGAGTGGGTGTGAGGATGTGTGTGCGCAGGAGAGAGAGAGAGAGAGAGAGAGAGAGAGAGAGAGAGAGAGAGAGAGAGAGAGAGAGAGAGAGAGAGAGAGAGACTTTGATGGTCACCGTCTCTCAATACTACACCACAGTGCCTTGGCTATAGATAAACAAACCACACGTGCACCACCTCCAACCATCCACCTGGGAACAAAGAGACCATCCAAGTAACTACGCACTACCAGCCTGAACCTTACAGACCCGCCTTGGACCGCCAGAACCACATAGACAACGCCAAGACCTCAAAGACTCCACCAAGACCACACGAACGAGGCTAAAGACCAGCTGTGCTATGATCGCGCCTTAAGAACCCCGCTAAAACGTGAGGCTCCAAGGCCGCCACTCTGAGCCAACTAACGTCGACAGGAACACGCAAAATTGACACCGCGAGATGACGCTAAGTGACTAGGGGCCTGATGTTCCATTCTTCCCTCCTTTATTCTCGCTCTTCCCCCTTCCTTCTCGCTCTTTCTCCCTCCATTCTTACTTCTCTTTCCCTCCCTTCCTTTTTTCCGTCCCCACTCTTTCCTTCATATCTTTCTTACAAGACGTGAATTCTCTCTCTCTCTCTCTCTCTCTCTCTCTCTCTCTCTCTCTCTGTAGCAAGATGTAGCTCTCCCGCTTCCTCTTCTTCCCTCCCTCCAACCACTCTCTCCATCCTCAGTCGCCTCTTCCTCCTTCAAACCCACTTCCTACACTACCCTGCCCACCTCACAGCCACTCCCAGCCAACTCGGACACCACTGTGCTGTGAATGTCGCTGCTCCTCTACACCTTGAGGCGGAAGAGTTAAAAGTGCAAATATAAATAAGTGTTGTATACATCTCAAACACTTACTTGTGTAAAGTAAGTAAGTGGTCTATCTGTTACTTAACCACTTGTGTATAAGATCCCCTCTGAGCTGAATAAAATCACCCGGCGATAAATAAGTAAAATATTAAAAGTGATATACCGCAGTGAAAAATCTCCATCCCAGCAAATTTCACCTAAAGAATAACCACCCTAACACTATTTGGAAGGTTAGGTTAAGTTAGGTTAGGTTAGGTTAGGTAAGGTTAATCTTCATGAGTCACTCGGCGTATACCATCACAATGCCCAACTTTCATTACTTGTTTATTATTCATTTTTTATTATTATTCATATAATTATTTGTTGTATTCACTAAGCTGACGACAGGTATCACTTGTTCCCACACTCATTAAGGACCGTATTATCGCCAGGTGGGAACAACAGGTGGTGGGTAATGGTGATCACCTCCCAGATGGTTCCCTCTAGCACACTACATGTTGAGAGAGAGAGAGAGAGAGAGAGAGAGAGAGAAAGAGAGAGAGAGAGAGAGAGAGAGAGAGAGAGAGAGAGAGAGAGAGAGAGAGAGAGAGAAGAGAGAAAGAAGAGAGAAGCGAGTCAGTCAAGTCAGTCAGTTAGTGAAGAACCAGTTAGTCAGCCGACCAGTCAGTCATCATACAGTCAGTGAGTGGCGGGCCTAATTTGCCGCCTGACCGGTCATCTCTGGGTTAATTACCCAATTTAGCCTCATCCTAATATTTTCCCTAATGGTGAATGATAGTTTCCCCTCACACGCCGGGAATGATGAGGTAGAATGCTTTAACCTGGGGATCATTCATGTTAAAAATGTTGAATGTTGAATATTTTTATCACTGGGATCATTCGTCATAAAATAATTAACTGTTTATATTAAAAAGGTGGAATAAATTAGCCAACCCAGATTATTTCACCTGATTAACTATTCTCACGGTACTGCAAGGGTTAGGTTAAGTTAGAGTAGGATAGGTCAAATTAGATTAGGTTAGGATAGGTTAGGTTAAGTTAAATTAGGTTTAGGTAGGTTAGATTAAGGTAAGGTAGGTTAGATTAAGGTGAGGTAGGTTAGATTAAGGTAAGGTAGGTTAGATTAAGGTGAGGTAGGTTAGATTAAGGTGAGGTAGGTTAGATTAAGGTAGGATAGGTTAGGTTAGCATTAGGGTGAACAACGCCTATGGTAGTCTCTGAATGAATTATCGTAGAAAATGGGAATCAGGATTCTGGACCAATTAGCGCCCATGGGCTTCCACTACTGTCCAATCAGCGTACATATGCTTCCACTACTGTCCAATCAGCGTGCATGGGTTTATCCCACTGCCCCCCCTCCCCTCACAGCCTCACATAATGGCCACCATCTTTATCCTTCGCCAAGGGATAATACTCTTACGTTATCTGTCTCTCCACACCGACTGCCCCTTCTCTGTCTGTCTGTCTGTGTCACTGCCGGTCTGTCTGTCTGTCTGTTTCTGAGTAACACGTGCAACCTGTCTCTCTCTCTCTCTCTCTCTTAATTCATTTATCTTATATCTCTCTCTATTTCACCTACAGTCTCTCTAACTCTTTCTTTTATCTCTCTCTCAACTCTCACTTATCCCATCATCACATTAATCCTCATTTTTATCCATTATTCTTTTCTCCTCTTCTTCACTCCTCTCTTCTCTCCTTGTCTCTCTCACTCCCAATGTTTCTCATCTCTCATCTCCTACGTCTATAACAATGTTTCTTTGTTGTCCTCCGTGCTGTCCAATCTCTCAGTCCCTAAGGAGAGGGAAAGAGGATAAGGGAGGGAGGAGGAGGATAAGGGAAGAGGGGGAGGGTGATATTGGTAGAGGTGAAAATAGAGAGGAGGGAAAGAGAGATGGGGAGAGGAAGAGAGGGAGGAAGAGGAGGAAGGATGAGCATTGTACATAACCTCAGGTGGATATTTTAGGGGAGGTTAATATAATACTGTACGTCCGCCATTACTGTTTACATAGTATTTGATCAACACACACACACACACACACACACACACACACACACACACACACACACACACTAGGAAGCTTTAAATGAGCCATTCAGCGAGTTAAAAATTATTTAACATCATCATGCAACTAAAAAGATTAATACAAAAATATAATATATAAATCACAGCCCGGGGTAATAACTCGACCCAGTGTGACCTTGTGTCGACACTTCCGGGGTAATTAAATGACAATTCTTACGTCTGGCAGGAATTTTGTTTTATTTACCTGTGATGGTCGACAGCGTAAAACATACCTAATCTAATGCCCCTGATTGATACCTAATCCCTTATGGCTATACTGAAGGGGATTCTAATCGCCTCTCGCGTATAGATTCTATTACTAGATTTAAGTTGTTTTTGTTTGTAATGGACGACAAGTGGAATTTGATTATTTTTTTTGCGCGTGATGGATCTGAAGGTGATATTTCCAGCGTTGTGTGTATGTATTTGCTCATTTACATACATACACTGCAATATATAGATTGATATACACATAATCACATACGCACATACTGTATACACGTATATAGACTACTAGTTTTATAAACGATTATATTATCTCTAACATAAGCTATACACACACAGCTATTGAAACTCAAAACACATTTATACTTAGACCCGCGTACGTACACACAAACACACATATATACAGACACTTGCAATGAATATCAACTATTACATAAGCCTGATATCCACACTAAGACCTGGAATTAATACGCTTGCTATTCCATTACGGCATCCGGGAATAGCGTGTACAGAAATCTATTAAGCACACCAGAGTTAACACACATGATAAAAGCTGGATTTAACAAGTGTGATTAAAAGATATTATACGCTATCGTGGAACATAAACCGGATTTATCAGAGGTGTTTGTGTCATTATGGAAAATTGATTTATTACATGCATTGCGCCACTATGGAAACCGGACTTAATATATATATGATGCTCCTCTACAGAATCCGAAATTAAGACGCTCAATACTCTTCTATAGAACCCGGAGTTAACGTATATGAACCTTCATTATGAAACCAGGAATTAAAATCCTTGCGACCCCACAAAAATTCAAAGGCGCATCATTAATAATAATAATAATAATAATAATGTTATGGCATTTTGGACTTGCATAGATGAAAACGTGGGACCGGAGTGAGTAGAGTCATTTCAACCTTAAGATGGGACGGGACTTAGGACAATGTGAGGTGTGATGTTGGACTTTTAGGAGCTGCAAGTTTGGACTTTTCGAAGTGTGAGTCAAAGCCTTTTATTTTACCGGTGGGGTGTAAGTTCGGTCCTTTGGTAGGGGGGAGGGAGGGGGAGGAGGGGGGTAGGGGAGGAGGGGGGTAGGGGGAGGAGGGGGTAGGGGAGGAGGCTAGGAAGGAGGCTAGGAGGTTAGTAGGAGGGGAGGGGGGTAGGGAGGATGCGGGTGGGGGAGGAGGGTAGGATGAGTGAGGGGTAAGAGGGGGAAGGAGTGAGGGAAGAGGGGGAAGGAGGTGTAGAGACCGCAAGAGTAACCTTATGGGCGTCTTCGAGAAACCTACAACAGATTCACAGTTTAGACACAAGA